TTGGGGGTGCCACGAAGGACGGCGCAGTCATGCAGCAGCTCAAGACATAGGCGGCAGCGGCGATGCACAGCAGCGGGGCCGCAACGGAGCTGGAGCGAGCCATGATCTTCCACAAGCAGGGGTTCTATGCCAAAGCGTTTGAGCTGAAAAAATCTGAAGGCATTGTTGTGGGTGCGCATGCAAGCTATTGTGACTGACTGCTGCACAAGTGTGTTCATGTGTGCCTTCGTTGACGGCGCTAGTCCTGGTAATGGAACTTGTCTATGCCTCCTCGACTTGAACTGCTGGCCAGGTTGCTCCCAGAATTGCCTGGCACTGTCGAGACTCGGCTGTTCGTTTGCATCGTGGCAAATGGCCGCATAGAGGTCCAGCAGGTACGGCTCTGCGCTCTGGCATGCGGGTGGCATCACACAACCATTGACACTGCCGACATGTGACCAGTGAGATGCAGGAGTGGACGCACAACGACTGGTTTGTTCCCAGGAGCCTCAAAGATTGAGGCGTAGTTTGCCAATTCCAGTGCTGCTGAGAGCTGCAGTGCGTCTCGCTCCCGTTTCGGTACTTCCTCGGTACAACAAAGTCACTGCCAGGACATGCGGTCAACATTTTCCGGCACAAGTGCAGGAGCTAAAGCTTGCCGGGTTGCGGCAAGCGCCAAGTCTTTCTGTGCCATGCCGAAGTCAAGGCTGGGGTGAAACAAGCTGTGAGCCAAACAGGTTCCCACCGCATGGCTTGTTGAACGTCAAGTGTTCTCGGATTCCGCACAATTTCCAAACCCTGCGTCCGTGCCCTGACAGTCACCGAGGTGGTGCCGTGGTGCAGTGACTCACGCCTTGCGGTTGGGCTTCAGACGGACCATGCACCTTTTGGGCAACAACGGTTGTGCATGGCCAGACGGAGCCGAGAAGCATCCATCTTTGGGATGCGAGATGATGTGGCGCCTGCTGGCCACCAGGGGGAACTCGTAGTCAGCTGGCATGAAGTTTTGGACGAAGGCATGGTCTATTCCTGATGGTTGAAACGAGCGGATACCTTGCCTCAAAGGCTGCTGCTGTTTGGCTGCTTCCAGCCACACTTGGTGCGCGGCTCAATGTTGCAACAACCTCGTGGGAGCCTCAGAACTAGGAGCCGATAGGACACGATAAGACCCGTGTTGAATGTGGCATAAATGGCGAACATGGGTAGTTCGCTGAATTAGGGACGCTCTATTAGGCACCCGAAATGGTGCGGCACCCCTTACAAAAGGACCCCCAAAGGGACCCTAATTTAGAAAACGACCCACATCTTCATCGCTCACTAAGCCGGAAGCCGGCCCGGCTCGTCATCTCCTGTTGCGCATGAACTCACGTGGATGTTGTTCTGAATCGGGCACCTATTGTTACAGAGGTACCTGTGCAATACTTTGGAATGAGGCCATGTCGGCAGGCATAGATAACGAGCAGGGTCTTGCACGAACCCTTCGGTCCTGAACTTGGGCAATCGTCGCTCTCAACGAGTCCACCTCTCGAGATGAGAGAGCCAAGCCAAAGACAGAGATCAATACAGTGTATGCTGTATGCCTGGACCAGATCGGCTCGCAGCCGCTCCATTTCCACGCCAACGTTGTAACGATCACCTGGCAATTCTGGTCCATCATGCGTGAGATAAGCCATGCTCAGGCAACATGCTAGCCCACTTGCAGCAGCGGTTGCCACTTCTGCATGCAGGTTGGCGTCTGCAACCTGGCAAGAAGAACCACATCGAAGCTTTACTTCTGCCCACACCATATGTGTGTGTGTGTGTACGCGGAGGCTCATGGGTTGCAGAATTGCTTGACATGCAAAGTTGACCTTGAACTCCCTCTCGAGCTGCTCCTGCACCTGTCTAAGAGCTGACGTCTCGGCCAGATGGACTCATGCTTCTTTAAATAGGTGCCTCAGTGATTCGCATGGAGAGATGTGCATCGACCTGTCAGCACGGCAGCATGGTCATAGTCTTTGCCCTCTTGGCACCGACCCCCACCTCGCGTCGCTGGTCTTCGATGGCACTGCAGGCCTGGCATGATGCGTGGCTAACGACTATAATGACTGTAACGGCTACGACTACGGGGGCTTGAGCACGTGCGGCTCCTCGTGCACCTCGCATCGCAGGTCAGCGGCGTCCTCAAAGGCCCAGCTGGGAGAAGGCCAAGCTCCGATGAGCTCGTTCTGGCGGAGGCACCTCTTGTGCTGCCTGCAGTGCTGAGGAGATTTGTCCAGCCTCTCAGCTTGGCACATCTTGGCACAGAAGTGGTCCCGCTGCGTACTGCCACTCTCCGGTTAGAGCCTCGTCCTTGAGCTTTTGCGCCGTCTGCTGGACCATGCTGGTGACCTGGGACCGGGTGAGTGCCCCTGACATCCGAACTTGGAGAGGTCACCACCGACGACACACGGACAGAACTATCAGACTCTAGGTGTAGAACGAACAAAGCTTAGATGATTAGTGTATAGTTGCTCTGCATGGCTGGCATGAGCGAACCTCTCGATGCGCAGCACTGGCATCACTCTGCAGCTTCCTGTGCAGGTTGTGGTGCACTGGTTTTGAACGTGTGACTTACTTTGTCCGTCAGGCTGTGTGTACAACAAAGAAAGCCTGATCTCGGAAGCAGCTTCCTCTTTTATTCTGACCTGGCGTGCGCAATGAAAGGCTGCAAAGCAATCTTACAAAAATGTGAACACTCCTGCGAGTCTCTCTCTCGGCTGCTTTCCTAAAAACTGGTGCCAGAATCCCTGGTCCCGGCCTGCATGGAAACCAAAGCGCCTTGCAGATCTTCTCCCTGCTGGCCCAAGTCCTGTAAGATTAAGATCTGTGTGATTCTTGCAAAACTGGAGCAGTGGAAACGGGAACCTTCCGCACACCGGCCAGCTCCATCTGGAAGAAAGTGGTGAGATCCTCGCGACAAGAATGGCAACACACGGCAACCCTCCCCAGCATTCAAATCTGAAGCTGGCCTTTCTCACCTCAGCTGCCTGACTGCGGAGTTGCTCCAGCTCTGCTTGTATGGCCTGTGACTGCACATGCATGCATAGGACTCAACGAATGGATGCGGCAATACCATCTGGGCGCCTGATGCAACATGTCCGACTGGCTGCCCTTCTCGGCAACTTCCTGAAAATTCCAGGGTGGACTTGGGGCATGCGACTGCGCAAGCGCTAACCTTTTCCCCACCAGCTGTCTGATGTGACGTGCCTGTCTGAAATGATTCAGAGCACCGTGAAACTCTGGCAGCTCCTGGCCCAAATTAATCAAAAAGCGTGCAAAACAAAACTCGCTGAATGCCCTGCCTTGCGGAGATCATCTAGTGAGCTGTTTGTGGCATCAATGCCCTTGCACGAAGGCTTCAGTTCGGTTCAATTCGCCTACCTCGCACTAGACGCTTACCACTTCGAAGGCCTGCCGCGAATGATTCGCCGAGCTCTGCAAATCATGAACAGAGCTCTTCAAATCAGTCGCCAAGGACTGAACGGCAACCAGCTCCTGCATAGCTGATGGCTGAACACTTGTCGTTGCAGCCCTTCGTCGCGGGACCGCAGAATATGCAAGATTTTTCAAGCATCGGAGACGCAGCACAGCCAAATTGGGTCGGCGGATCGATGGTCCTCGGAAGACTTTCGCGACTCCTGCTCGAGAGAGCTCGTCACCTGTTTCGTGGTTGCGATCTCCTCCATACAGGCAGATTACATCGCGGCAGCACAGAAACGACCTTTAACAGCTTTCTTGTCTGATCGGCGCATGGTCTGTTGATTCACCGTCTCCTTCTCCAAGGTGTCCAGGCGCGTCTGCGACTGCACCAGCTCCTGCGTATCGGATGTTGGATGCATGCCAAGACGGGCTAGTGACCACACTTCCCATCAGCTGCCATGTTTGCATGTAGATGTACGAAGCATGAACCTGCGGGGCTGCAACCTCGGCGCCCCCTCGATGCTCTCCTGCTGCAACTTGTTCAGGTGGGCTCTTGTCTCGGAAGTTTCCTTTGCTTCGCAACATACGGCACCAAGAATACTGGCAGGTCGCTACAGGCACGCGAAGCCCTACAAAGCGGGCCTCCTGCAAGCCTCTGTCTGTGCCCTGCAACTCCTTCACATCCTGTGAATCCGTCTAATCGTCTAGCAAAAAAACACACTCAGACGTACCGAACAAGGGACGTGTGGGGCACGTGCTTGGGATTCCACATCAAGGTTCTGAAATGACGGAACCAGACCTGTCCTTTGAGATGTCGCTGAGGTTGTTCTTCAAGGACAACAGGTCGTTCTTGTTGGACAGAGTCTCCTGCAAGCTGCAGCCTCTACTACTCTTGCCTACGGCACGTTTGGCGACGTTGTCGCTTAACATTTAACATTCCGGATCATCACTCAGCTTGTCTCGGGTCGCTGCTGATCTGTCGTGAAATCTGAAATCTGCTTTGCTGAAATGCTTCTTCCAAGGTTCAGAGTTAATAAACATAGGGCGGGGGTTAACTGTCAAGTGCATATTGCTGCAGGACTCAGAACTTTGAAGCAAATTAGCAGCACAACACGAAGCAAGCTGATTCATTGGCAATACTATATGCTCCACCCATGGCTTTTCAAACCTGCGCAGTTCGGGAGATTCGAAGCAGGCAGTTCAGAGAAAGATTGAGCTTCATCCCTTGCTTTGCTACGGGCGTGGGCATGCTTCGATCTAAAGGCTGGATTCTTCACCCTACGGGCCGATTCAAAATAACCACGGTTTTAGGGGATGCTTAGCGCTGGACTTACAACGCTTGCCATCACCGGTGTCTGGCAAGTCTCACTGACTACGGCTGGAACCCAGAACAGAATCATGGTGGGTATTTCAGGCTCAGGCTATTAACCCGCGACATCGCAAGTGAAAGTGCTTAGTGTTGGAGACTCTGCTTTCTGGGAGGCCTCACATCAACGGCTTTGGACCAACCGCTGGAGGCGAAGGCAAGTTGACGATGCTCTTGTTCCGTCGGCTTCGTCTTGGTGACGTGGCCCTGTCCTTGGACACATTCGTGAAGTCGCCCCTGGTGGACACGAGGTCAGTCTTTATGGACACTGTCTCCTGTCAGGCGGAAGAGCTATTCATGCAACTGCCTCCTTCCTGCGATGGTCGTCTAGCCACGCACACGACGCACAGAGGCCCTCCGTGTGCAGTGTCTCGAAACAGAGGGCAGTGGTGTCAGTAGTGGATATTTTCAGCTTAGGGCTCGCGAACTGTGGCAGAAGCCGCCTTCTGCAGGCTGGTGATGTGCCCCTGGGTTGCACTCAAGTCCTCGAACACAGGTCCGAGGATCTGCCGCGAGAAACTTTGCTCTGAGGTACTCTTTGAGGCATAGGCCTGCCGCAAGTCCTTCACCATGCCCTGAGCAGCGGCTAGATCCTGCTTGGAGGCTTCGACGGGCATGTCACTGGAAGCATTGTCAAACAAATGATGCTGCTCATCGGTTGGTGCCTGTGCCTTCGCGAATTCGCTCTGCTGACTCTGCAGCAAGCGCAACTCCTCTGGGAAGTGCTGGTAATCTTGGTTTAACTACTTCCCATTTTGGCATCCCGGTCTGGCAAACTGTTCCCATTCGTCACCTTGAGTAGGTCAGTGACCTGACTTCTGGATGAAGCTCCGTCCTGCAGAGCAGGAGCAAAAGGGGCAGGCAGCCGTTTGGATCCGTTGCAGCTGTGAGGTCCTTCTTCAAGTCGTTGACTTGTGCCTGCGTGGCCGAAACGTCCTCCAATGTTGCCACCATCCGGGCGAGGTCTTACTGTAAACCCTCACACATCATGGCTGGGCCTTGCGCGTGTCAGCGAGCTGCCCCTGCGTAGACGACATCTCCTGGAGTCCGACTCAATGGCTCGAGCAATTCGGGACCAAAACCTTGCCTTCCGCACGTCACTTAGCTGGCCCTGTGACGAGGAAAGCTCCTTAGTTCTTGCCCAGCTAACCACGTATCCACCCTACACCATTATGACAAAGCCTTGCGCACGTCGTTCAGCTGCCCCTGTGTGGAGGAAAGCTCCTGCATTCGAACTAACTTGACCCGCTGCTCCTAGGCCTCGGTGCTATACAGTATGAAGCTGCGAAAGTGCGGTCCTTGCGCAAGTCGCTGACGTGACCACGGAGGCCATTCACATCCTAGATCGCATCACTTTTGGAGCTTCGATTTTTTATGGAGGGAAAGAAACGGCAACGTCTGCATCTGGACTGTTCTTTAGCAAGCAAGCAATGGCTACCTCTGTCCTTGACAAAGTCGTCAATAGCATCCTGCTTCTCGGAGAGTCCCTGTATGGCCTCCTAAACAGTCATATGCCAGGAACAAGCAATACTTCGACCCAGCAGTAACAGCAGTCTCCCAGTCCTTCCGCAGCTCTGCCACATCTTTGTGCAGCTCACTACGCAGGTCGGCGTGGTCCTTCCTAACCTCGCGAATCAGGAAGCAGCAGTAATTCAAGTTTACGGCGCCTCAAAACCCGACCCAGGCCTTGCTAATTTCAAGGGTGAGCTCCGATCGCAACGATTTCACCTCTGAGTGCTGGGACTCCTGAAAAGCATGTGCTTCCATCCCTTGTCGCTGAGAGACTGCAGAAGCAGAAGTCCTGCTCAGACCTTTGGGCCGCAATGCTGGAGCGTGCGAGGTCAATCTCAGAGCGCAGCGAGTTCAAGTCAGTGGCATGTTGCTCCGCGCTGGACCTTGCAAACAACGATGCGGTCAAACAACGGTCCAGGCTCCCATGCTCTGACCATCTCGCACCGGTAGGATAAATCTGACAAGCTGCTGGACGGACTTGATCAAGCTGCGGCTCGACTCGGTCTCCACTTTCAGAACTCCAATGTCCTGGACATGGCTTTCCATGTCCGAGCGCCACGAGGCCACATCCGATCTGAAGGAATTCAGGTCACCACGCAGGCCGTTCAGCCCGTTCCCGAGGTCTGTTCGTTGAGAGCTGAAGTCCGTGCGGAGCGACCCGAGGTCGGTGCGGATTGACCCAAGGTCTGTCCGGAGTGTCTTCAAGTCCGTCCCCTGCGAACCCAACTCTGTTCGCGTTGTTGTGATGTCGGCACGGCACGAGTCCAACTCACTCCGCAACGATGTGATGTCCGAGCGCACTGGATTCAACTCAGAGCGCAAAGTGCTGAACTCACTTCGGTGCGCGTCTAGATCGGAACGCAAAGCGCTATCCATGCTGCTGCTCTCGGACTTGAAGCTGTCGAGGTCTTTTCGAAGAGCGCTCAGCTCGGAGCGCAGCGTTCCAAGACTGCAATCCCAGGCCGAGCGAATTGTGGAGAACTCCGTGCGAAAGGAAGCGGCCTTGGCTGCTACTACGTACTACGACGACGACGACGACTTCTACTACCATTGCTGCTTCTGCATGTCAGCAGCATCGCTAAGTACACCCTATATAACTGTTGTCAAAAGCTGCTTGCATCAAGGAAGCTCGAGAAAGCTCATCTCTTAGAGACCTTAGCATGCCACATTTGTTGGCAAACCTAGGCCTGAGCCGTCTTCGTCACTGAAGAGCGAGGTCGCCGTCGTCGAGAGCTGTGGTGATACGTAGTACATCACACTAGTAGTTTTACTGTGTTAAGAAAGTAGTAGCAGCAATCGCATTGGCATTGGCAGTAGCAGTTGCAGTACTAGTAGCAGTAGTAGTAGCAGTAGTAGTAGCAGTAGCAGTAGCAGTAGCAGTAGCAGTAGCAGTAGCAGTAGTAGTAGCAGTAGCAGTAGCAGTAGTAGCAGTAGTAGCTGTAGTA